AATTGCCCAGAAGAAAAGTTCATTTGATGTCGCACGCATCTCATTAGAAACTAAATTTTGCGTCGGGTCTGGCAAGGCTGGCAAAAGTTTTTCTGGGCCGAAATGCAAATGAATATTAAGCACAGACTTGAGGCTGCGTTTTAATAACTGCGGATTAAGTCTGCATAAATAATAATCATAATAAACTGTGTGCCAGCCATGAAAATGCGCATCAGCGCGTAGCAGATACGCTTCTAACTGCTGCCCCAAACTCAGACACCGCCCCGCCCCCGCTTACCACCAGTCACCCGGCTAACCCAGGAATCTGGGCAAAAAGTTTTTGCATAAGAAAATGACAAATGATCGGCGAAGGCTGTTGGGTGGTTCGAGTATTAGCTTCAAGTCGCGCTGGAAAAGTTACTGTTACGGCTCTGCTGGGTGGTAGAGAGGGAGGGCGCGAGAGTAAGAGAACGGAGAAAAGCGCGACAACGAAGTTTTCTTTTGTTGGGGCAGAAATTCTTGGACTTTGTTGCGCGTAATTTGAGCTGCTTTTTTTGTATTATTTTTGTTGTTTTTATTTCGTTCGCGTCTTTTGTGTAATATTTCATTTGGCTTGAATTGCAAGCGATGCTCGCAATTTTTCTCATTCCTTACAAATAGTTGGCTCTTTGTTGCTGTTGGCTTTTAATACCCAGTTAAATGTGCGTCTAATTATGCCAGCAATTAAATGCGAACTTTGATAAATGAGCAGAAATAAAAGTGGGGAGTCAATTGTCAGGGGTGGGGATCATCCTGGGGCATTTGCATGCCAATGGCATGCCCGACTTAACATGCAATTCAATTAAGTCTTATCTTATCTACAATGCGCGCTCGCAAAGAGAACCAAAGCGAAAGAATAGTAAAGAAAAAAGTCTTCCAAGAACGCACAAATTGCTGCGACGCTTATCAGTCAATTAGCCAAGAGATAAGGCAAACAAGTAACGCGAACATAGCGCAAATTGAGGGTAGAAGACCGAGTCTCAGCTCTTCGGGGATTGGCAGTTAAACAAGACAGCCCCGAGGGGCGACCAAATGATGGCAACAATGCCCACATTTCCGTCAGGTTTGTTGGGCGTTTGCTTATCGAGCAGCGCTGTCAACGCATATCTTTTAACTTCAAGTGTTTTCCTCCACAAGTTCTCTGTCTCTCTGTCTGTCTATCCGCTGAGCTGTGATAAGCCCAGGTAAGCATGTCAGGTAAATGGTTCGCTTTTATTACAGTGCTTCTCTATCTAATGCCATTCAAAGAACTTGCAATCGAATTATTTTGGCAGTTTGTTTTGGGTCCAGCAAATGGACCATGCAACCAACAGCTGCTACTTGCAAATATTATTCCTATAATATATATCTCTTCCGTCTCCGATTGTTCTGGAATGTGGCCTCTCGAAACCGGAGCTCATTTAACCCACGCATCGAAATGTAAATACGTTTACAATTAATTTGTTGACGAAATTTATTTGAAGTTAAGTTTATAATTAACTAATATTTGAAATTCATTTGAAATACTGTTTATAATTAACTAATATTTAAAATGAGCACAGTTTTTGATATCTTGGTTAGTCATTCGAATATTTAGATAGCCCGAAGTTAATCTAAGGGGCTAGACTAAGCTTTATATAAACAGCACTAAAAGATATATATTTTATCTTGAATATATAATCCGCAAATATGACCGCACCTAATAATATGTTAATATATTTTCATACAATGTAGGTAATTGTTCTTTTCCTGTTTGCGTTAGGATCTTCCAATTATGTTTAAAAAAATAACTTATATATACATATATGATCTGGGACAACATTTAAGAATAATACACAAAAGAAAACTCAGAAAATGCTCTACCGAAAGAGCTGTTACATCTTACTCTCTGAAAGTAGCAATAAAGTTCTACAAGCCACGCTGCCAGTGAAACGTTTAAGAATACCGAACAAAAGAGAGCTACGAAGCATGCTCCGCACATGAAGTAGCTGTAATTATAATCTACAGGCACTTGTATGTGCCTGCTGCTGCCTGCAGAACTTTCAAGGATGTCGCACAAAAGGGAACAGAAAAGGTATTCAATCATTTGTGTGATTTATGTTCATGGAAACAGATAGTTGTTGTTGGGTCATATAAATGATCTTCAATGCTTTAATTGCTGTGTGTTACCTTATCTCCATTTCCTGTTATCTTAAGCACTAAATGCGTAACCATGACATGATTAAAAAAGTTTGACAATACTTGAATTTATCTGCTGCACCTTATCTGAACGCTGATTACGTACAATTTACTTTTAATTTCAACTGGATTTAGGCTTTAAGAGGAACCTTTCCCAGCTGCCGTCGCGTCTGGCCAACAAGATTTTTCGTGGCAAATAGAATGTGAAAATCAAAATTAAAGTTTTAAACGCAAAAATATATGATTTGGCTATAAATGCGAAATGATATCGTTTCATTTGTTCTGTGCGTGCACTGCACATATGGCACGTGGCCAGCGAGACGCGAATTTTAATTAACAAACCATTTAAATGAAAATTTCGAATGCCGGTAGGCAAAAACAAGAGCAATTCGAATGGCACGTGTTGGCGCCCAAAAAGCGGATGTGCGTCATTTTGCTGCAGTCCCTGGTGTAAGACCCCCTCCAAAAAAACAAAATGCCAAACGAATTCTGGAAATGCATTTCAACTCATCAATTATAGATGGGGAAAACAATTGTCTGTGTGATTGCTGCCGTTGAAGTAGTTGGTCCAATAAATTTGACTAACAGCTGATGTGGAAATTAACACGGGCTCGAATCCCTGATTATCCGAACTGACAACCGTCAAACAAATTAGTTCAGTAAGCCGCATGAAAACCTCTATAATAAAATAGAGTTCGCTTTGTAGGCAGCATTCAATTCGCCTGTCTCTGACTGACGACTATATTTGGCATGTTATTTTAATACGTATTTATAAACTGTTTGCAACTATTTCAACTGTAACCCTAACCCAGTATGCTACGCCATGGTTAGAGTTTTCGCAGTGGTTGGAAACTCTAATCGCTCTATTTTTGCCAACTTTTACAGCTGAGTGAGGACATGACATGTGTCCCCCCTCACTCACTCTCACTTTGTGCTCCTCTCTTTTGCTCTGCTTTTCAATTTATTTACAGACAGACACACGTACACATGCACACAACGGAAATTGACAACTTTGTTGAGCGTGGGGCAGGGCCTGGTTTGGGCAGGGCAGGGTTGAGGTTTGAGGGGGGTGGCGCTGCCAGGTCGGCATTGCCACTTGAACCCAACGAGCCATAACAAAAGGCACACGAAGTAATTAACTTGTATTTATTGTATGCACACATTGCTGACTGCTGCAACATCGTTGGGTGTGTGGGGTACGGGGTGCGGGGCGCCCTCTCCCTAGTGGCTGGCATGGCTGCCTTTTCTAATTGATAAGCTGGCCCTGGCTGCTATCTGTGCATGTTCATTCAATTACTTGGCCTAGACCCAAGACTTGACTGCAGCTAACTGCAACCGATCTTGGTGAGGTTTATGCACATTACGCGGCCCAGCTTATAGTTAATGTTTATTAGTTTTTTCCATTTAAACTTTAACTAAAAGCGAGTAGCATAACTATATGAATCAGTTTGCGGCCAGTAAAAGCAATCACTCAGTAAGCTGTCTGTTACGCATCATATTTTTATGAAAATTAAACAAATCTTATAAATTTAATGTACAGTATGATCAATAATACAGAGGATCTACAAGTTAAACAAAGAGGTAAGAGTTTTTTATCATAGAGTGTGCTTTAATCGGGGTTAAAAATGGGTCGCTGCAGTGTCAAATCCTGTTTTGATTTTAAAGTATGTAATAAGTTTTCTTCTCTGGAAATGGAACGACTATTAAGTAATTCGATTGCTTATCTGAAATAATAACGATACAAATTGATGACTAATTCCTATCGATTAATATCAAAAATGATAGATCTTATTGATAAATATTTATTAATATCACACCAAGTCACACCTCAAATTTTGCCTACATTTCGTTCTTAAAAATTGAGTATTTATGTTTTAATATAATAAAAAAGCTTGAGTTGCAAGCATAAAATTCTCACTAGATACTTGAAATAAGCGTAAGAAGTTTAAAATGGATATGTAAAAATTATTTATATTTACGAATTTTTGTATCAGAAAAAAAAACACTTGAAATGAAAAGGATTGTCTTTAATTCTGCATTTTCTGCCTGAGTGCACGTAAGATGATTACGTTATTATAGTGATTAGATGAATTATTTATGATTTCATAATATATTATTTATGATATGATATATAAATTATATGAATGCATAAATTTGCGGATATTTCGCTTTTTTAGCATACTTAAATAGTTTACAAACTGTGCTCTTGAAGCGTATTTCAAGTTCGTGAGAGCTTGTGATTGTTTCTCATTGCTGTTGTTATTAACTTTTCGTCTGATGCGGCAACCTGGCACGCAACTTCGCGCTGTGGGGCATCCACTTGACTGAGACAGACTGGAACTGAGTAGGGATTGAAGACTGGAGGAGGCCACTGAGAACGGAGCCGTAGCTCAAGTGGCGTGTCATTTACCTGGCGGCCACAGACTTTAGAGACTTGTGAGGGGCAACAACTGGGCGCAAATGCTGTTGCAACTTGTGCAATTATATAATATTGACATTAGTTGCATGTTGTTGGCCGGGTTGGAATTTAATTGCAGTCTAAGATGAAAAAACTGAACTAAAATCAATATAGCCTCTGCTCTAATAGTATGTCAATTATTTGATTTGCGTTTCAATTTAATGGCTTAATTTCCAACAGCCAAAGACGATGCGTTGTCAGGCGTAAACGTGTGCAGATGAGATTAAATAATGACAGAAAACCAAACTCAATTCAACTCAATTCGATTTCTAATCCAAAACACACTTTCTCTACTATTTCTCATTCTCTCTCTCTCTCTCTATTTCTCTCAATATCTCATTCTCTCTTTGTTTTGGTTCATTTGCAGGCTGAGTGCACAAGGAGACTGTTAAATTGACTTAACCAAACGTGTGGCGCACAGAAAGGACACTCGTGTGTCTCGTGTCATCGTCACTGCTTCCTCTTCATATCCAACTTCAGACTGATTCACTGATTCACCCGCTGCAGACTGCAGGCCAAATTGTATAACAAACTGTGGAGAGTAGTGGAAAATACTTGGTGAACGCAATAGCAAAATACAGCAAAAGGCATTTCAAGTGGAATGGCAACAAATTGAAATACGTGTCCTGCATCAGACGTGTGGCATGTGCAACAACAAGAACAAGTACAGATAACTACTTGAACAACAACATATCAGCAGCCCCCAAAATTGTACAGCAAATCAGCTGGAAACCTTTTTGGGCCACATATCCGGACGCATAAATCATCGAGAGCAGAGCGCGCTCATTGATTAATGTTACGCATACGCAGTGCGTGCCAACCAAGCGAGGCGCCCTTTAACTGTGACCAGTCAACGACTTCCACTGGCCATTAACAACTGTCCAACGCCCACAACAACAGCTGAAATCGTAGCCACAGTTGCACCACAAAGGAAACCCCCACGAAAGTCATCATGGCATTTATATGGCGACGTCGCTCCACAACAATTGTAAAGCTGGTGGCACTGATGCTGGCCATTTGGTTCTGCATCGCCTTCCTCATCTACACGGACGACACGCGCCGGCGAGCGGCACAGGAGACCAGCGGCTACGGTGCCAGTGGCAACATCAATGCCGGCGGCGGTGGCGGTGGCGGTGGCGGTGCCGGAGACCCAATTGCATTGGCCCTGAAAAATGGTCCCATCTCCGAAGAGGAACCAGGTAGCGACACCCTAGCTGTTTATGACAATGCCATTGGGGAATCCAATCGCGTAAAGGTGATACCACGTCAGCAGGACGACGATTCGTTGCGCCACAACGCAGTCGTCCATGCGGTCGAGAAGCCCGTCCACAAGCAGCAGCCTCCACCCAAAGAGGACGGTAAGTTGAGCAGCCACTTTTAATTAATATTTAATGTGCCAGCAATGTCTTGCATTACACAGTGGAATGTGCACAGGCTGCATTTGCATTAAATAATTATTTGAGTTAGCTTCAACTGAACCTGACAGAAATTTAATTAGCGTAATATTCAGAAACTCATTAAAATGATAAAATGTACAGACCTTATATCTATTATAAGTTCTAGCTATAATTGTTTGATTCTTTTCAAAACTATTGAAAAGCCAAGGTTAATTGAGTACTTTTATATTATAGTAGACGATATTATCCGGCGTTGCCCAGATTTTGCATTTATAATCTTCTTTTTTCATTGCGTGCAATAATAAATTGCATAAACTACTTTTAAAATTGACAATTGATCACATTCGCTGCACTCGAACCAGCGATCTCTCGTTTGTTAGTCCGAAGCTCAGCCACCTAAGCAATGCACGTTTTTAAAGGGGTTCATTTTAAGGCTCATTGCAGACGAGTGAATCATATCAAACGTGGGAATCCTATCTTTTTATTAACATAAGAGCAGCTATAAATTCCTCGGTGCCGCTGACATAATTTATGGCCTCATCAGAGTACAATTATTTTATGCTAGCATCCCCCCTTTCTGGCCTTAGCCTTAGCCACCAAGATTAGATACTTTTGATACCAATAAATTTGCCGACGCTGGCACGTTTTGCCTGCATGGCATTCGCCTAACAAATGTGCAACATTAATATTTATATTGAAATCAGTTCCAGATTAACCACATTTCTCGCCACATCCATCACAGTTAGTAGCTCAGCGGCCCGCACCACTTCGCGCCCATGTTTGTTGATTCACAACTTGTTTTTCTTCATATTCGATTCTCTCTTGGTCTTCTTCTTGGCTTGTAATCCTGTAATCAGTTTTTGCTAATCTTTCGGCTCTGTCTGTGTTCCCATTCAGCCGTTCCCACTTCATTTTCACGGAATTGTAGTCCACTAATTTCTAGCCAGTCTCGCTCTCTTGATCTCTCTTTCCCTCTCTATCTATCTCTCCCTCTCTTGTTCTCTTTCTAGTTCAGGCTTGCATTTTAGGTCAGGCATTCAGAAATCGAACTAAACTTATGGATAATCACACACATGGCTTTGCCGGTTCAGGCACTGTTGCCGTCTCCTGTCGCCCCTGTCACCCCCCTTGCTTTTGCATGCCTTTAAGAAAATTTCTAACAAGTTTTACAACAATGTTAAAGATGCCAACGGCGACAACCACAACAACGACAACAACGCGAGCCGGAGAAGCTGCACTTAACAAGTTGCAATTGTTGCCAAACAGCATTTTCAATGGCAGCCCGGTTAAAAGGGTGTGTGTGTGTGTGTGTGTGTCGAGAGGGGTGAGGGGCGCTGCCTTTTGGAGCGGTAAATAGAGAGACCAAACTCTCATGCCGCTGTCAAGCGAGGCATTCGCATTAAGCATATTAACAACAGCAACAACAACTCGGGCACTAATCAGGCACAAAACCTTCAATAGTCGGCCCCTCGGCCAGAAATTTTACTCAATGGACAGACTGACTAACTGTCTGACTGACTGACTGACTGACTGACTGACTGACTGACTGACTGACTGACTGACTGACTGACTGGACTCACTTGCTTTTTGTGTTTTGGTCAAATCAATGAAGCAGTCACCCGTAACTTGAACAAGTGCTGTAGCCAATTCTATTGGCCAAGACGCCGGTGCTTGCATGTGCTACACGCATTTAAGATTGCATCTGTTTCTGAGTGGACTGCGCATTGGAGTTGGCCGCGTGTTGTCTTCACCAGCGTGTCACGAGCACGCCTAACTAGACACGACGTGTTCGTTTTTTAAAATCACATATCGCGCGTTGAGTGTGTCACAACACGCAGCTTTTAAGAAGTATATGGGATGGACTAGTTCCAAGCAAAACTAGGTTTCGTTTCCTTAAGACTTATGCCTATTTCCATTCCTAATCCTTCGCCTACCGCCTTCCTAGGCCTAACTAGGAACACACAATACTATATCCACATACTAGTCTTTGTTGTGTACCCTTATCGTCGTTCCTTTGGTGTTAGAATAAAATGGAATACACTGTGCCATTCAGAGTATATGAGCACCTTTTTGTCAAATGGGATTATATCCGGGATATGCTCAACAAAATTCAAACGAAATTTAAGAAACAGATAAATTTAATCTTTGTTATTCGATCGATAATCATAATATAAGCAAGTGCATTTGGTTCTTGTTCTGAGGGATTGGAATATTCTTGTTCGTTTTGCAATCGGAGTATCCTCAATCTACATGAGCAACTAGAAATATGCATAAAAAACGAACTCTGAAAATTCATTTGTACCTTTTTTAAGCAAAAACAGAAACTGTTTTCTGCATATCATATGCGAGATCCTTAAATTTGAAGTTTTTATATCCGGTCTCTAATCTTGATCTCTGGACTTATAAACATATCTCAGAAACGCATGCATCGTACTGGTTTCGTGTCGTGTCTGGCATAAATTCGACACGATTTCATCTCTATTTCCCGAAGGGCTTGCCGTCTGGCAGTTTCACACAATGCACGTATTTGCAATTTCGCATATCATGTTTGCATCTCTTGCGCAGCCTCATCAGCAACAGAGGTGGCAAAGCTACAAGTTGTTGTTGTTGTTGCTGTTGCAGTTGCAGTTGTTGTTGTTGTTGTTGTTGTTCGTTTGCTATTTGCTGATCCTGTCGTGCAGCAGTCGCCCCGTGGCGTCAAAATTGTGTGCAAGCCTACAACGTTTACCAACACTCGACCACGCACATGAGTTTGCAGTCCCGGCTGCAGCACTAGTTGCTCCATCTTCTGGTTCCTGTTAACCGAAACAACCATTGTCTGTGGCTATGACTGGCTTGGTGCTTGCTGCCTTGTGTGTTCATAGCTGGTAATTAGTGTTGTTGTACTTATTGCCTGGCCTTGGGGCGCTTACCACCAAAAGACGTGGCCAACACGACGTTTATCGCGCGCACGCATCAACCGGGCAGGCAGGCAGGCAGGCAGGCTGGAGTACACTCGTCCAGTCAGTCACCCATCCAGTGAGTCAGTCATTCAGTCAGTCAGTCGAGACGCCGTCAAGCTGCTTGCCTGCTGGCCATGTCTTTAATACGCGCACTATCTTGATCTTGGCCTGGTCTGCCGGGCCTGGTTGTCTGTCCTCTTGTACTTATTTTTTTTTCTTACAATTTAGCAGCGATAATGATTTTGTACATACAATGCAAATGCCACGCCCATTCCCGCTCTGAAGAAACAAGCGAAATGCCTCTGGGAACAGCTGCTTCCACAGCAGATTGATTGCCTTCGTCCAGTTGTTCCCCCCGTTTTTAATCAATGCTTATCCCCTACCATGTTAATAACATAACGCTGATTTGAGTGCGTCTCTGGGTGTGCGTGTGTGTGCGTCTATTGTCCTTGTTTGGAGTCCCTAGGGGTACCCAGTTGCCCACATGCCCACTTGCCCACCTACCCGCTGCTATACATTTCGCAAATAACGCTACTTTGGCATATTATGTTCCTTTTATGCTTTATGCCGGCACATGCCGAGCCAGCTTGTTCAGGCAGTTGTTGGTGGGGCGCCTCCCAGGCATTTGTCTGTGGCACACATTGCTACATTGCCACAGCTCCACCCACAGACGCTCCCTCTTTTTGTCTCATGCAGCTCGCATAACGGACGCTTTATAGCTTCCTGTCACGCTCAGGCGTGTCCCTGGAGCGCCTCCTCCTGTATCCTAACCATTCTCTTCCTCTCATTTCCCTATTTGACTTCTGGTTGTGTCCATAAACTGCCGATAGATATGAAAATGATATAGATGGATAACGCATACGCCGCCGCATACAGAGAACTCTCGCTAAGTGTGACCAAGGTACAGGATGAATGAAACTGAAACAGAGTTTGATTAAATGGAAATTCCAGCGAAGTCTTTATTAAAATCTATCCCAGCTTAAGAAACGAGTTGTTTTTGAAAAACTCGCAGTAAAGTGCCTTTTATTATTGTCTATTCCTGAGCTTTTCGTCAAGCAAGACCGCTCACTGTACAATCTGAAATGGTTTTTATATCATTTCGGTAGAGTTTCTATATTTCGATATGCTATAATTGGATTGTGCTCAGGTGGCTACATTTGAATAGCAGCGGGCCGTTGGAGTTCGTGCTTTAACATTCCATGCTGCGCTATAAATAAGTGAATCAATAAAACACATAAAAACCCATAGAGCCTGGCTCCAGTTCCTCCTGCTGCACCGTCTCCAAGTTCCCTTTGCGTTCCCTTTTTTTTTATTGTTTTTTATTATGATGCGTGTGTGTGCACGCGCACAGCATGCAAAAATGTTCATTACAACAAATAGCAGTCGAGTGTGTCGCTTAGTCCTTGCTAGGGGTTTCTTGGCCCAAACGTTGCCCTCCGCTGCCCCCTCAGCCCGCCTGGCACACGCGTGCATATCCCGCAATGAAGTTGTAACTACGACAAATCATAAAATTTATGTGCGAATCTCCCTCCCTCCTTTTTCTAGGCTCCGCTTCTATGCCCAGTTTCTGCATTAATGGCTTTTGTTGTGAGTCCAAAAATTTATCGTCGCCTGATTGGCCTCTTGGTTTTCTGTGGGTTCTTACCGACAGACTCTACTGCCACATAATAATGTGGCTAACTTGAACTGGGACTGGGACTGCGACTTTGGCTGGGCTTTGCTTTTATCGCTTTTTATTTCGCAGACAGCTTTTTATGTTTATTGAAATGATTGTGGTAATTGAAATGTTTTTCATTGTGCGACACTCTCGCACAAACACACACGCACACACACACACACATACTCGTACATGAACAGCGCCAATAAGTGTCACTTCTGGCTGACAAATCTCATAAAAAGCAGCAACTGGCAGCCGGAACAGAATCATATTTCCATGCAAATGCAAATAACAAGATAATATAATGCACACACAGTGAGCACACCAACACACACAAGCACACACAGCAACACATACGCCAAGCAGCAGAAGAACTCATTGAGCGTGTGCAAGATGCCACCGAGAACACGCATACGCACCGTAGCACTCTGGTAACAAAAGCTAACAAAACGCAAAAATATAAAATTAAATAAACAATTTTTTTAGTTTAAAAGAGCGTTAGTTTGCCTAGCATCAGATAATATGCATAATGTATAAAAAGAATAACATAAATGTTATTACCCAAGAAACACATCATATCACACTTAATTTTCAACCTTATCTTACTTTTTTACATTATCAATGTATAGAATATGTAATAAGAATATTCAGCCAAGCATTTTTTTTTAAAATGTTTAAAAGTAATATTCATTTAATTATATTGTATTTGTAAGGTGTTTGTGTTCCAAGACAATATAGTAGAAGCTTGTTCTTTACTCCAGACTTTAATGAAACAAATCAAATAAAACTTGTCCCACTGTGCGCTTGGCTGGCAAATTTGCAAACCGAAGCATTTTTCATGCACGACGCTGATGATGACAACTTTTCATGTCAAATGCATAGCGATTTATCATTGCCGAGTGTCACATGCTGTGCCAGTCGTAAATTTCATGCACAACAAAGCAGCATCAGCTTCCTTTCGACCTACCCAAGCCAGAGCCCATTCTACAATAAATCCTGGCAATTTCAAGCCAAATCAAGCAACAACCTTAACCCGTCACTTATCTTTCTCTCCCTCCCTCTCTCTCTCTGTATAGATAAAAGCGTTTTGGATGCGCCAGCGGCGAATCTTAATGATAATCCTGGCGAGCTGGGCAAACCTGTGATTCTTCCCAAGGAAATGCCGATAGATATGAAGAAGGCCGTCGACGATGGCTGGACAAAGAACGCCTTCAATCAATATGTCTCCGATTTGATATCCGTACATCGTTCACTGCCCGATCCGCGCGATGCCTGGTGCAAGGATTCGGCACGTTATCTTAGCAATCTGCCCAAGACCGATGTCATCATTTGCTTCCACAATGAGGCCTGGTCCGTACTGTTGCGCACGGTGCATTCCGTACTGGATCGCTCGCCACCCGAGCTGATTGGCCAGATTATCCTGGTGGATGATTACAGTGATATGCGTGAGTTATTGTTGTTTTGTGAGGGAGACAGAAATGATAATGGTAATCACTGGTTTTTTCACTTTGCAGCACATCTCAAGAAACAGTTGGAGGATTATTTCGCCTCCTATCCCATGGTGCAGATTGTGCGTGGACCGCAACGCGAGGGCTTGATACGCGCTCGCCTCCTGGGCGCCAAATATGCCAAATCACCTGTCATCACCTACCTGGATTCGCATTGCGAGTGCGCTGAGGGTAAGTTCGCAAATGGTCAAATACCATGCTGTTTTCAAATTTTTGGGAATTTTGCATATTCATTGTTATTATTACTGCTGTTACTATTCTAACAACTTAAGCCAAAGCTTACCAAGGGACAACTATATCATAAATCTTTTATAAAGCCCAAGAAACCATTTTTTCTATTGGGAATAAATATATCTAGGGTATTTAAACTTCGGAATTCCTTAGCCAAATATTTGCTCCTGTCTCGCAAAATTTGTTTTCGCAGCCCAAAAGTATGCAATTGTTTTCTCCCCCATTGGTTCATGTTTAATGCAACATTTGGAAATTGTTGCAAATTGCTAAAGCAATTTACAATGTTTCTAATTGACTGATAAATTGTTGGAATTGTTTTCATTGGTCTGGCCAAATTAACCGTAAATTAATTATTCAATTAGACCACAAGTCGTGAACACACATTTCAAATATTCGGTTCGACTCTACGAGAGCAGAAAAAATAAAATAAAATAAAACAAAATTAAAGTGTAACCAATTTTTGGCTGGGTCGCTTTAGGCGCATTTCGCAAATCCCCAGCGTGCCATCAATTTTGTTGTTACATTTGATAGCCCAAAGATGAGATTCGTTTCGGCCAACAACAATGTTGGCAATAAAACAAAGCCAACTAGTAAATCACTTAATCTTCAGTTTTGTTGGCCCCGGCACTCGAGCGTTGATAGCGCTGATTGCTTTGTACTCGTCTCTTTTGGCCCAAAAATTTCATTTTGGCTAAGGGAAAATGATGGAAGGGCCGACACACAATCAATTTTGTTTATTGCACACCAAATCGATGAAACCAAGAGGGAGAAGGAGAGAGAGAGAGAGGTAGAGAAAATACTATCGAAAAAACTTACTTCAAAAAATATCATGGAGAAAAACTTTCGACTCAAAGAACGTGCACAACATTGTTCTGAATGTGTGTGTACGTATGTGTGTGCGAAAGTTGTGCGCTAAAAGAAAACAATTTCTGGTCTTTTCACTTGATGTTGGCGCTGTCATCGTTGTCGTCAATGCTGATGATGAATGACACGGCCAGGCGAATGAGCCGGACACGAACAGTGCTTGGCAAAAGCAATTAAACCAAGCTAAAAACCACGGCATTCATGTAGTTGCTATAATATACTGTAAAAGGCTAGCTCGAAGAACAGTTTTGTAAGGAAATAATTATTTACTTGTTTGCTTTAAAGTCGAAATAAATATCGGATATCCAACAATTGAATGGAAATTCAGTTTTTGTTGAAAAACTGCACCATGAATGGGTAGAATATATATACTTTATTGAGTCGGAGATGCTTTCTTCTGCCTGTTAAATACAAGGGTATAAAAATATAGCATATTTTTAATTAAATTAAATTGAAAAACCTAAGAGTATGTAACTCTCGACACTCTTTGCAACACAATCAATTTTGCAACACGTTCAATCATCTGTTAACAAGTTTTTGAGTATATTAAAATTATCTATATCATATTCTACATATTTTTCATTCTCATCTTTCATCGTTTACTTACTTTATAATATTATTTCCTTTTGTTTTTTCTTTCCTTACCTTTAATAAGTATCCATAAGTAAAACTTTAAATTTTTCATCTATTTGATAATAGTTTTTCTATTCCTCAGTAATCTCTAATCTTACTGTATCATATCTCACATATAATTGTCATTGTTGCCATTCCATTTATCTTATCACTTATTTACCCTGCCAACATTCTTACTTGACATATCCAGAGCTAAAGTCCTCACTCTGTCCCTTTGTTCACAGGTTGGTTAGAGCCGCTCTTGGATCGCATAGCCCGCAACTCGACCACAGTCGTCTGTCCCGTTATTGACGTTATCGATGATACGACTCTGGAGTTTCACTATCGCGACTCCAGTGGAGTCAATGTGGGTGGCTTCGATTGGAATTTACAGTTCAGTTGGCATGCGGTGCCGGAACGTGAGAAGAGGCGCCATAACGTAAGTCCAAGCTTATTAAGTATACGCCCCATTCTGCCAAATTATATATATACATTGCACCGTTTACCGCCAAACAGCGACCACATTGAAATTTTCAAACAGTTCAAATGTGGGCGTTGGGTTCAGTTTTGGGCGCTTTCTGCGGCGTGGCGCGTATTTATTTAAGCACATGCCATTATCCTGCTGTCTGCGTATGTGTGTGTGGGTGTGAGTATTTGGTTTAGCCATGGCTAGGTTAGCCGAACTAACCCCAAACCTTTGCACGGTATACCAAAATTCCGTTTTGCAGAATACGCGCACACAACGGAATACATGAAGCTGCTTAAAGCGCTCGAACGTGACTACGGCGGGATGTGAATGTTTGCCGTGAAGTGAATGTGGCCATCAAAGCAAACACACACAATCAGCCAGGGCTGTTGGTTATGATACGGTTTTGTCGTAGGTTCATTTGGGATTTTCTATTCAACTTTTGCCATGCATCTCACCAAACGAGCACAGTTGAAAGAGAAAATAAATTCAAGCTAAAATCAAATTCGAGCGAAAATTGTATATTTAAGCAAAACTGAACAGCTAATAACTGGGGGAAAGCAAAATCGTTTCCTTAATTAAAAACTCTATTTACTGTCTCAATACATAATCCGAAATAGGGAATTCAGTGAAAGCAAAAGAAACAAAATTCGATAAATGTTTAAATAATTGTGGGAAATCATAATTCAGATGAAAATCTCTGTGAAGCATTGTAATGTTCAAGAGAAAAGAAACAGCTTTGTCGCTCAATCGTATCAGCATAATATCCCAATACTTTTTCTGCAAAACCCAGGGCTTGACTTGATGAGTTAATTATCCGAGCTTGTTATATCATAATATTTAGTACAGTATATTGCATATTTAGAGAGTTTTTCCATTACTAGAATTCGCACTCGGCCAATAACTAGCTGTATTTAGTATTCATTTTTATACATCATATCATATATATCAGCTTGTCTTATGCAGTTGCACGAAGTGCGATTCTTTTCTAAAATTAAATTTCACGTTGTGTAAAAAATTTGTTGATTTTCAAATTTTAGCACCACAACCAACTTTTAGCGGCGCTTTTGTTGTTTCAGTGCAAACAACAAAGCTGGTTGTGTGTGTGCCTAAGTAAACTTAGAGCCCGAAGACCCACATTAAACATGAAATCGCATAAATTCGTATTACCTGCTTATACCTGGCTGACACCTGACGCCTGGCAGCTGTTGAAGCTGCCCGCAGGCGCTGAGGCCTGACAATTATGCTGGCTTGTTCACATATTTGGCGAGGATTAAAGTGAATCTGAAATGTTCTGAATGGTTTGCCAAACACTCGAAATGCAATTTCAGTTGTTGGTACCCACACACCCGCACACTCACACACTCGTGCACACCCACTCTTCCGTATGTTGCAAATTTTGATATCTCTCAACATTTGTCAAGTGGCCAAAACTGTATTTTGTTGCGCACTTTAAACGAGAATGTTGCCTCAACGCGATTCGCTCAGCTCACTTTTGGCCACAAATTTGTTGTTGTTATTTAAATGTTCTCTGAACATTTTAATTAAACAACTCGCATTCATTCTTAATTACAACATTTGTCCCTTAAATGCGAGAAATGCATATAGCTGGAGCAGTCAGCCTGCGTGTAAGTGATATCACGCATACGACGCGTTAAACCGGCAGAAATAATATGCGCAAATTACAGCAGAACGGCTGGTCGTTTGGTGAGGCATCAGGGTGTCAAAGAGCGCGGAACTGCAATGAAAAGCCAAAACTGTTAACAGCAAATTCTCGACTGCTGCTTCTGCTGCTGTGACTGTTGTTGCAGTTGCAGTCGCCGTTGCCTTTTGCGGCGTAAATATCTGGCATAATTGTTTTTACAAGCGCCAAGGGAATTTATGAGAACATTGTTGCCGAAAATCCATGCCACACTCGTTGTACAGGGATCGCCTAGTTAGGGTTTGGGAAACGGAACACATTTTCATGAATGTTGTTGTTGCTGCCGCTGCTGTTGCCACTTGCCGCCTGCAGCTGCACTTAGCAGCTAAATCAAGTAAAGCATTTCCTGAGCACCACATTGGCAATTTGCCGGCTACGAAATTGGAATGAGCCATAAATGTTGCCTATGGCTGTGTGTGTGTGTGTGTGTGTGTGTGTGTGTCGACGACGACAATGATAATGGCTGCCAGAACTAGGCGAGCGGCGCAAGAAGCATCTATGAAACAGAAACAAAATCGAAAGAAAAATTTCTCGCATCTGCGACAAAATGCAATAAATGCCAGTGGAAAAGTTTCCGATGCCGCTGTGACATCAATTGAAAAGCCTTTTTATACCCTATACCCATAGGAAAAGGGCTAGAAAAGGGTCTATTGAGTATTGGCCAGGTCTGTTGCCTGTTCGAATGCGATTTCAGAGAGTTTAGAATTTACATATGTTCTTGCATACCATATAAAAATCAAGCAGAGCTGCAAATTCCAAATAAAATGGTCAAGTATTTGGTTTACGGCTCGAAATGACTTTGCCTTGAAGTTCGCTTTGTAAACCTAGTTTTTCATTTATATTTTGAAAATGTTGCTAAATCAATTCAATTTTTAATTTATAATTGCCCGTTCTAAGGAAAATATTGCAATTGCACATATTTTCATAGAGATAACGTGGGCTACATTTGATGTGTCCCTAACATTGACTGTTATTAAATATGATGCGATAAATCGAATTGTTGGGACCCAAGTTATATTAGCTTGAAGGCTGTCTTCCTCAAACAAACCAATAATAAATAAATTTAGTTTTGCTATTTTTTAGGCAACTGGCTTGGTTCGGTTTTTTATTAGAATTGAATTAGTTGAGAAAAATGTATTTCGGCTTATCGATGTAATCGATAAATATTGATTTTAAGTCTTAATTTTTTTATAGAATATCTCGGATATTAAAAAAGATGCATGCACCAAATATTTGTTTAGTTTACACAGATTGTCTGCTCCGTTAATAATTTTGAAATTTTAAAAAGATAATCTTGATTTTAAGTACGTATGAATAACGTATAGAAACCATTTTAAATTCAAAGCTTGTAGACTATAAGAATAAAAGTTTTATAGGGTTAAGTTTTCTCGGCTGTTATGAACCTTCTTATAGAGCGCCATCTAGCCGGGCCCTCTCACCTTGAGCACTCTCGATAGCTACACATAAAAAGCCCGCATGCACTTCTAAGCTCTGGCAACCTGAACGAAGCACAAACGGAGCATAGATCCTGGTTGTTGGGTTACCTTTAGGCAGCTGTTGACAGCCTTAAAGCCGGCTCTCAACTTTAGCTGTGTGTCCAAAAAGTTGTGACGATGGCAACAGCAGCAGCAACAACAATAATAAACATCGCTGGAGGTGTTCTGCTCGGGGAGGTGGTATCAAAAATACATATTCGTTAGTAGCTGAAGCACCACCCTCGCCCCCTCCACTCCTCGCAATGTTCCCTGCTCGGCCAGCTGCCAGCAGAAGTTGCGTCAGTTTTGTTTGTTGTTCTAGAAGCGTTGCTTTAGAATCGATATATTTGAAAAGCTTACTAGTTAAAGTGTGGTTGTGTGTGCGTGTATTGAGGTATCCAAGACATGCTTTTGTGAGAGTGTGTGGGGGGTGTCAGGGGGCAGCTGCCTGATTACACGTGAGTGACGCTGCCAGCGCTAACGGCTAATGGATTTGGCATTAAACTTGGCAGCTGCCATTCGCATGGCTGCCCAGCCCAGCCACCCCACTCCCTGACGTTCCCCTCCAATCAGCAAATTTGGCAAAATGCTCAACTTTTGCCATCGAATTTGCTTGCCCTTTTTAAGGTTGAGTCCAGAGGAGGCGGCTGCTTTAGCGTAAATCACACTCTGGGCAAATTGTGAGGCTTGTGTTGAGACGACTTTAATGCCGTCTCATAAATAATATTTAAACAATGAGAGCGCTTCTTTTGTGCGCAGATCTCGAGCATTTTATGGCAAATTCGCAACTCGGAACGAACTTTTGCCGGATTTCTATAACATTTTTATTGCCATTCTTTTACCTGCCGCACTTTGAGTTACTTGACGGCACGCAGTTGCCTGCCACCTGACACGTACACTCCTTCTTCTTCTTCTTTTTATCCTTTTAACATGTTTTTTTACAGACTTTTTTATGAGCCATGGGGGACTGAGGGTGGCTTTGAAAACCCTTTAAGGTGTTGCGTATATTGTGTTCTTGCAGACATTTTAAATTAAGAAATATTCCCTATTATAATTATGCTGGAATATGTGTACATCGAATGAATCCTATTATTTTTTCTGATATTTAACTTTGACCCATTTATGTTGCTTCTTTAAAAGGTGAAAAATTATAATGGTTTTTAGACTTTATATAAACTATCAGTTATCAATTAAAACTCGGAATATCCTCGCTTCTGTATAAACGTACTTCGAGAGGTTTTTAAAGTTTGGTAAAAAGATTCCTTGAGTCATCCCTCAATTTCAGATAGTTTTTTCTGTTAACAATAATATCAAAACACCATTATATTATATTTTATTTATTATTTTTAAACATCCAAAAAACTTTTTCTGTGCTTAAAGTGAAGAAGGAAAAACTTTTCCTAAGTCAAGATGTGATAAAAGTTATCAAAAACATTGCTTAATTGTAAGAAAGATTTGTAATTTCATAAATTATTTGACCAATATTGAGCTTCACTTTTTTAAAAGCTGATTGCCATCAACTTTTATTCAATTTGTTGACGGCAGCTGCTGAGTCTGTATCTAAGCCATCGTTTACTTTTATTCGCTGTGCCCAACAAACTTATTCCTTTTAACAGTTTTTTGTGTTTGCGTTCTGCTGCTGCTGCGCTGCTGCTGCGCTGCTGTTGCTGAAGCTAATTTTTCTAAAGTGTACTTCTGGGCGCAACAAATGGCCTAGAAATTGCGAGTAGAAAAATATGCAAAGCGAAGCATTTCAAGTGCTGCAGCAGAAATTAGCACCAAGGCAAAAAATTGCC